ATGAATGAATGAATTAGGCTTTGGCGAATCCAAGGGCGTGAGGAACATGAAGAGCCTTCAACCATTCAGTACTAGAGGTTGCACCAGCTTGGAGGAACTTTTCAGCAGTGAACTGAGAAGCCTCGTCGCGGGAGATGAGGCCACGGTAACCCTTCCACTTGATTCTTCCGGAGACATTGGCACCAGGACCTTCGTTGTTGTATTCGGCATAGTAGCAGGTGTCTTCGAAGTGTTCACCAGCCCAAGGGCACCAGCCTTCGGGATGAATGAAGTCACCGAGGTTGGATTCCATGACGATGGTCCTGGAGTACTGCTTCCAAGGCCTGCCCAAGAAAGACTTGATTTGGAACCTGACGGGGAAGAGTGCTTGCTCAGGGACGATGTTGCAGTCCTGGATGACAATGCCGGTGGCCATGTTCTTCTCGGAGGTGCCGTCGGCGGTGACTGTGTTGAGCTGGTTGTCCAGGGGCTTCCTGACGATGATGACGGAGTGCTGGATGAGGGTGGTGGAGACGCCGAAGATGAAGTCGATGGTGCCGGAGATGACGCAGTTGCGGTAGAATTGCCTGTTGGTCTGAGCGTACAAGGTGTCTTGGTAGCCCAAGATGTGGCAACCTACGACGGCTGACATGTCACCCTGGTTTCTGAAAGCGACGGCTTGGTGACCCTCTGCGCCAGCGGTGTTCTCGAATGTCATGGCCTTGGCGATGAAGCCGGGAGCAGTGTTGGCTGAAATAATGAGCATTAGTACATGCATGTGTATGTATATGTAATTCAAAAGTAAAGTACGTACCAAAGGTGGCGGTTTGCATTGTCTTGACGCCCTCAGCGAAGTTCTTGCGGCCAGTGACAATGGTCTTTCCGGGGCCATCACCGTACATGAGAATGTTGGCAGCGTTCTTGGGAATGGTGATGTATTCATCATAGAGACCAGCCTTGACATAGATGTTGTATCTACCCTGGTAGCCGTTAGGGTAGGAAGCAATGGCCTCAGCAATGGTTTTGAACGTACCAGAGCCATCCTGGGCAACCACAACGTTAGGGACAATGTGTGATCTCCATCCCTTGCGTTCAAGCTGACCCAAGAGCTTGCGATCGGCAGCAGAGAACCATGTGGGGTAGCCTTGGTTATCAACGGAGAGAAGACGGCGAGAGGCAGGTTTGAGATTAAACTTGAAGCCAAACTGCTCGAGGATGTGAGACAAGCTACTGACGATGTCAAGGGTGATGCCGGTGAGTTTCTGCACGTTGTCCAAACTCTGTGTATGCAACTGCTCCTTGATCTTCTTCTCTCCCTCTTGCCCATCGTCAAAACCCTCCATGCACGCCTGTTGGTACGAGATAACCGCGCTCAGCCAGTTTTTGAAATCAGCGGTTTGGGTATGCACGGCTTGGACGTTGTTGTTGCGAACCATGTCGGTGCTCAGCTGGAGACTCTCGATTGCAGATTGCAACAGATCCTTGCAATCTTCCAGGGCCATCTTGATGCCTTTATCGTTGTTTTCATGCTCCACTGTCAGCCTGTCGCTCATGTTGAAGGCTCTGATCACACTTTCTGTCGTGGCTTTCACAGCCGCTGCTATGTAAGCCTTTGGATCTGCGGTGTCTAGGCCTTTCACCGAGCTCAGAGTCTCATGGCACAGTTTTTGGTCTTCAGTGTTTTGGCATATGACACTCACGGATTTTTGTTGGGAGTGAAGCTGGTTGTCATCTCCCTTCTTATTAACAGCCACCACTACGCCGATGGCAACTCCTACCACGAGGATGAGAGAAACAGCGGAGACAATTATTTTTCCAGACATCTTTTTTCTTTTTCTTTTCTGCCCTTATTATTCCAAATCCTCCCCTTTAGATGAAGGCTTGGGGAGGTTGTGGAGATACCGGTGAAGAATAATGACCTCGGAGTGGGTTTATATACATTTTCCCACCAATCATAACTTGAAAAAACCATGTATTTTTAGCCATTCTTAGGTGTCGTTGCCTTCTGATATTTAGGAGGGTGTTGACACACATGCATGCATGCGCTATTTTTTTGTTATCGAAATTTTTGCTAGCTAAAAGGTCTTTCTATTTTAATGACTTTATTTGTGGTGCTAAAAGTTGTTGAAGACCAATTCTTCAACCTTAGGTGCTATGTTTATGGAGAACCATTGAGACATTTTTGGTGTGACTTCGTTACGGTTGGAGAACTTGTGAATTTTTGAATTTTTATATTTTAATTTTAATAATTTT